GGTGGAACCGACCTTGGAATCTCTTCACCTAACACTTTCACTCGAAATGGAAGTAAGCTCAACAAGTATGAAACAATAGATTTTTCGAAACCTAACATTTCTCCGCATATAATGCACATATGCTTTACCTTATGTAAGACTCTGTCACGGGGTCGTGTCCGCCTATCTGTTCTCTAGTCGTTCAGCTCTTCGGCCGATTCATGCTTCTAGTACCAAAGCAGTCCCTCCTCCCGTCATAGTTCACCTAATTAAAGCAAATTCACTTCCGACTCGACTGAGCCACAAGTCCTAACTTTGGCAGTCATTTCGTCCTACACAAGGACCTATAAGACCTGCACTGAATGAGGATGATCGCCCAAGCAAACGCCTCAGCAGGCGATTTTTAGCAAGTTTAGCCAGGCCTGATGAGGGGAAAATATGGCAGCTCGGGCCATAAATCCTTAACCTGAAAGCAGTCGCTCTCATTAACAGGCGTCGTGTTATGCTGTCGTTAGGGTGGATTCACAGGCCGTTAGAATTGACTACTACAGCTCATGGTACCAGTACTATTGTTAATTATAACGCCATTAAAACAGATGTTTCTAGTGGCCATATTAGTAAATGCGAAGAAGCGATGAGTAGGGAGAATTAAAATGTGGAGACTGAGAGGATAACAACACAAACCATAGTTTTAGAAGAGGATAAATGAGAGGTTAGTTTGGATAAAAGACCGATGATAAATCAAAAAAGAGAGTAGGGGTAAGTGATGATGAAATTTTGCAATGAAGATGAGGATATAGAGAAAGCTGCAAAAACCGGATATAAACTAGTATATTTTTTCGATGTAAAGCCAACTCGAAATTCGTTATTCCATTTTTATACGTCCGGTATGCCTGTACTCACTCCAATAGCCAGGATAGCGTGTACCAGCTTCGGCCAGCTCCTCAGAGCTTGGTGATAACACACGCACCGGAAGATAGACTGAACGGTACTGCTGCTGGCCAAGGCGAACGCGACAGCGTACGTACACCATCTGGTCGGCCTGTGTCATCTTGTCAAGCTTGGGTTTACGCACATTCTGCAGCACCAACCGGGAAGAAACTGTGGTCTCAGACTCTTGTGACTGATGAACCTGGATCTCACCACTGGCCAGCTCCGAGAAACCGATGAGACTGCCAGCCGTAGGAGCATCACGCAACTCCCAACTGAAGGACATCTGAGGGTCGGCGATCAAGGGACGTAGGCTATTCGCATCTGCTCACCAGTGATGATGAAATCGGGAAAGTGAATAAAGTGATAACCACAAAACATTTATATTATCAACTACAGTTGTTTATAAGCTAGAAAATCGAAGGTTTAAAACAAATTCACTTTAGCTACATTAAAAGAATGAGTCGATGATAAAGTTTATACGCTTCTCGACAATAGGACTATATTTCCGATAACGTTATCTTTCACTTGGCTTACTCATTTGTACTTAGTTTAGTACAAATTAAGCACTAGCATGTACACAAATCGTGTCTTACACAGGTTCGGCTCAAAACCGCCATTGATGTCCTTCAAAATTGGCAACCGATATAATTAATACTCTCTACTTTCGCTGTTATACGAATTTCTGAGAAAAAATGCAAGACTAAAAAATCTGGTGTTTGGTAACAAATTGTTGAACAGACACAGTGTGCGACCACGACGAGCAGATTTTTTCTGCTTGCACTTCTGGAAAAGAAGATTTCATCGCCAAGCGAATATTCACCATTTATTATTTTCTATTTTGGGTTTTTGAAAGGTTTGAACATTAAACATTGACCTCGGTGTCGCAACTTGGTCTTGTTGTCAGGGAGACTTAGTAGAAGGCACCTAGTCCGAAGTCGTCTGTCATGGTAGTTGTCATGATTCCCATCATCAGATAGTGGACTTGATACATTCTCAAAAGTTTCGCCGGCATCGTAGTCGGCGTCATAAGTGAGTTTTGCCATTCGCCGCACCAAGCAACGAACTCGTCAAAGAAACAAGTGAAGTCAATCCCTCGACAAACGTTCTGCCGAAAGCGGTTACACTATCACTCCTCTTTCTGTCCTGCCCTATCTATCTACTCTTTACCCTCCTATCCAACTCTAGACCTATCACAACTTCTCACTTGTTCACACTCCACTTGTCAAAATGTGTGCCCTTTTGTGGCAAACTTAGTGTGGCCTCATCACACTTGCTATTTATTCCGACCCCTCTCTTTCTATCGGCTTAACCGACTCGGGACTCCAATCTGGATCCCTTCATTGTCTCGTAAATCCGTAGCGTAGCTTTCTGGTTGACCGATTTCACTCGGTTCGAGTCCAAGTGTGCATTTCACTCCAAGCGCTGTTTTTCAAAGCTATATGAGCACTTACACTGCCGCTTCATTGAGCAGAGCGCTTAAGCTAACATTTAACAAGATATTTCAGGAATCTATCTAAATTGGATGCTAACCTAAGAAAGGTCCCCATAAGTAAGCACACTAAAATCCATTCAATGAATTATGAAGACCCCATTAGCTAACTTAAACTAAGGGACTATTTTACTTTGGACCACCTTCAGTTAAATTATTAAGAATGAAGCGATATATTATCGGCAACCCTGGGTGATGATGTTTCTTGGTAGAAAATATATTTTTGT